AGGAGCTAAAATACGTTGTCAGCCAGAGACAACATATTTTGTTCTTATTAGCACCAGTCAGGTTTCGGGGATAGCAGATCTGGTCAGACAAAGCAGCTCCTCCAAAAAGCCGGGTAAAAAAGCAGGTCCGTCAGCCATTGGTGGGGAAGTTTGGTTTGGGAAAGTCTTAAAGTAAAGCAGAGGATGCTGTTGCACGGAGCAGGCGGGTTCTTCCCACGGCAGAGCCCCACAGATGCTGTTGTTGTCCCTCCTCCTGCCAGGAACACCAGTTTTTACCTACAAGATGTGCACTTTTAAAGAGGAAGTTCCGCAGAGGTTCCCACCGTACTGCTGGGAGGGAATCACGGATGGACGTGCAGTGGGACCAACAGGAGCCTCAGATATTCACGTTATTGTAGTAACATACGTAACTAGTATTTTTAACCATGCCTGAGATCCGTGCAGCAAGCCTCCCTCCTCCCTCCAGCACCTCCTGCCCCTCCATCCCGCTGCCACTAGCCACAGCAGGAGCTGGCAGGATAATTGGAATAATAGTCTGGGTGATAATACCTGGGCAGGGAAATAGCAAATAAAGCTGAGCTAAAGAGGTGGGTTTACCTCCGTACACAGCGTTGGTCAGAGTCTTGCGAGGCGATTATGCCTTCTTCCACTGTTCACATTTCAGGGTGATTCTGCTGTTCCTCAAAAGAGAGAAACAAATATTATCTAGGAAGCCTTACAAAAATTAAGCTTATGGTGCTCAAATCTTCTGCAGAGAAAGATGGAGACTTGATTTATCACACGGTACAGGTCCTTAGTCATAAAAAAGACACTTGATAGCAAGGGGGATGTTCAGTCTTGCAGACAAAAATGTAATAAGATCTGATTTCTGAAAGCTGAATTTAGTAGAATGTAATTTTGAACTAAGATGCTATTTCCTGGCAGCCAGGGGGTATTTAATCGCTGAAAGTACTTAGCAGACGTGGCAGTGTGAGCATCACCTGGAATGGTCAGGATAAGACTAGACAGCTTTCTAAAATGTGGACTTTAGTCAGGCTTCTAGGAAAATTTCTAGAGCCTCTGACTGAGTTCAGACTAAATTATCCTAGAGGCCCCTCTGGCCATGTATTCCAAGAATTTGTTAAGGCAGTTGAATTTCATTCCTGTCAAATTCTGTGCTCCATAACCACAGCTTACCGGTAGAATGATTTGCAGACTGTTTGCCACTAGAGCGTATGCTTTTATCCAAATAAAGTATTGGGCAAAATGCTACAGATTTGGCATTTGAACATGGTAGGCAAAACCTACAATGAAGACGAGGCTGACAGCCAAAGTTAAGCGTTGTCCTAAAAGAAGGAGAGGGAAAAAGCTGGAGCTGCAGGAGGAAACCAAGACCTGGGAGCCTGAGCATTAGGGAAAATATGCTGCTTTTTGTGAGAAGAGGTGAGCGATGAAGAGCAAATTAACCTTTTGAGGAAAGGCAGAGGAGGATGAAGACAACGCTTTCATGACACAGGAGAGAAAAGGGTAGACTCTGTTGATCTTTGTCTTGGAAAATAAATTGTATTCATCTATGTGAAATGAATGAGATCCTGTTAGTTCACTGTTAAATTCCCACCTGTGGCAGGACTGTCAGTATACTTTTCTTGAAAATTTGTATTTTGGGTGATTTGAATACAATTGCTGATATGATCCATCTTTTCTGGCCTCAGAGGAGGCCACAAACATCCTTGGGGGGATGGATGGGGCTGAAGCCCCTCTCCTGTGAAGAAAGGCTGAGAGAGTTGGGGTGTTCACCCTGGAGAAGGGAAGGCCCGGGAGAGACTTTACAGCACCTTCCAGTGCCTGTGGGGGCTACAAGAAAGCCAGGGGGAGAGACTACTTTTTACAAGGGTAGGGAGTGACATGACAAGGGGTAACACATTTAAATTGAAAGTGGAGAGGTTTAGATTAGATATCAGGAAGGAGTTCTTCCCAGAGAGAGTGGGGAGGCACTGGGACAGGTTGCCCAGAGAAGCTGTGGATGCCCCATCCCTGGAAGTGTCCAAGGCCAGGCTGGAGGAGGCTTGGAGCAACCTGGTCTAGTGGAAGGTGTCCCTGCCCATGACGGGGCATGGGACTGGATGGGCTTTAAGATCCCTTCCAAAACAAACCATCGTATAATTGCATGATTCTTCTGGATCCTTGTACCACTCTGCCCATGGGACCTACAGTAGTTACGCTGAAGGTCCAGCAGTAGAGCATTCCAAGACCTCCTCATTCCCAATGAAATTAATGTTGCCAAATTTCTAATCTGTTTTCATCAGCCACACTAATGAAATCAGTATACTGAACAATAAGTGGCTATTTCACCCATTGTTTTCTGGTGAGGGATGTGAGGGAAGAGACTGGACTAAGCCTAATCCCGACCCTGGCCCAGCCAGAGCACCAGACCTCCTTCATCCCGCTTTATTCTGTAGTGGTCACTCAGGTACCCCCGTGGCAGCATAGCAGGTTCCAGCCATGGCCTCTCTGTTTAGTGACAAGTTTAAAGCAAGTAAATATTGCCTGGAGAAGCAGCGTTGGGGGGCAGGTGTGAAAAATCCCTCTGTGGCACTGCTTCAGTAATGCCAGAACACGAGCAAATCTCTCTCTTTTCCTACCTTCAAAGGTGCAGAACCTCGAATAAGAGGTCTAATGCTGTTGAAAATCTTACACTGTAACATTTGCTTAATCTGGAAGATATTTCCACAGTTGCAAATAGATATTGCGTCAGTCGATTGTATATATTTACCTGTGAAAAGAACTGTTTTGAGTTACTTGATTCCTTCATTTGCTTTTTCGAAGTATGGTGGTTCTTAAAGGATAAAGAAATAAGTAGATTTAGAAATTTATTTTAAAAATATTGTACACTGACTAAAGCCGCTGCATATGCCACGTTACTCATGATATTCTGTTCTCGGATGGATTTCTACATTTCAGATAGAATTATCCCTCACCAGCTGTCTTTAGGAGGTAGATGCTTTTCATACTTTCTACACAGAAATAAGAATTCTTTTCAATGTTTTCTTTGTTGCCAACCCGAAATGTCAATGATACTTGGTCTGGGATGGGGGAGCGGGGAAGAACTGTGTTAAAAACACCCCATTTCAGGGCATGGGGAACCCTGCGGCGTGGCATAGCTGATGTGGGGTGGGCATGTGGGTGGTGCCTGCTCACCGTCTCCCTTAGGACGGGGGAGACTTCTGCAAAAGGATGTTGAGTAGCGGGTTCATTGCAGGGATCTGCCATAAATCTGATTAATAAATTATCCCTTTATGTAGAAATAACTCTCTGCATGTTTCAGCTCCTAAAAATGGTTTGTCATGCCTGTGTGCTTTTTCAGGCCATCAGGTGAAGTAGGAGGAGTGGATTATCCCCTCTGTGAATTAGACTGACAAATTCAGAAGTGTATCTCTGTTCCAGTGATTGTGTAAACAGTTTAACCTTCAAAGATGGGTAATACTGAACTTCACTCCTTTAGGAAATGGGAAAGGTTCAGCCTTCCCCAGATGTTTATTTCCCCTAAAGACAATGTTTCTCTGCTAATTAAAAATACTCTACATAGACTTTTAATTTTATTTGCTCACAAATGCATAGCCACAAGCAAGCTCAAAGACTTTCTGGCTTTTTGAAGCCTGTCTGTCCCCAACTCACTTTTATGACTGGAATCCTTCTAGTCACTGGAGCAGGGAAGGGACTGGAGAACATCTACAGGTGGAGATCCCAAAGCACGCAGAACGAGTCTGTGCAGATGAAAAGGCTCTGCACCTCACAGACCCCATTGAAGGGATGCTGACAGTGTATTCCAGGCTGCTGAAATGGCTGCAGAAGTTTATGTGTATGTCCAGATGGTGGGGTTTTGGTTGTGACAAACTGGAGCAAACCAGTGAAACAAAGCTGTGGCATTCAGGAGAATAAAGCTTTATTTGGGCAAATAATTTTGTTAGGAAAATGGAAGATAATAAACTTTTTTTTTTTATTTTATTTTATCGGTACCCATTGCAGAGCACTTTGATTTTAAAGCAGTCATTTCAGAAGGTTCTGAAACACCCACATGTAAAATCTGTATCTTTTACAGATATTTGTACAAATTTTTTTTATTTATCTTACAGAGAATTGTGGTTTTTTAGAAACATGAATAGGGTATGCCTTGTTACTGCATTGGTTTGATTTCTATATCAAATGTAATAATAAGTCATGTAGAGAAATACGTATTTCTTTATAAAGCAGGATTCATTTTGAAATCTAGAATTCCTGCCTTCATTGCTGAGACCCTAAGCTCCTTTCTTCCCTGGGTAACATTGCAAGAAGTAAAGCATTCCCTTAAGGCTAGGCCATTTAATGCTTTCCATCATTTTCCATTCCTGTGGGATTCTCTTCTCATATGCCCAGATGTATAAATAGTACATAAAATGGAGTTTAGTGAAGAATTTTGCTGATTAAATGAAAGAAAAAGATCTAGCTTATTTTTTTCTTAGCCATGTTTCTACTGCAAGCCTAAAAGCAATACAAAGCAACAGAAATAAATGTATTTTAGCCTTCCCCATGAACAGACATGATTCTTTAAGTACACTCAGAGTATATACAACAGGCATCATTATTTTTTAAAGTACAAGAAAAATTAATTTCATCTTCTTTTTGAACTGTCATGAGCAAGCTCTATCTTCCCTTAAACAAGAGCATCTTCCCTTAACAAGAGCATCCATCAGTAGCAGTTTACTGGGAGCTCGTTAGCAATACCTGCTTTGCACAAAATAGGGGAAATTGCTACTTTCCTATTTGTGGCATTTCAAATCCCTGGCTGAGCCTCTGCAAATGTGATGGCAATAGCTTTGGTCACACCTAAGCAAGGTTTTTGCATAATTATGTTGAACAGCTGCATGTATTTTTATCCATAACAGCAACATGGGTATCCCAGGTCTCCCCCGTTATCCATGCTCTGGTGGGGTGGCACTGAGTCCCCAGCTTTCCCTTACAACTTTCTCCTTGTTTCCTTACAGTTTCTCCGAAGATATTTCGCATTTCGAGTGACATCGTTGTGAACGAAGGAAGCAACGTTACTCTGGTGTGCCTGGCCACCGGGAAGCCAGAGCCTTCCATCTCTTGGAGACACATCTCTCCGTCTGGTAAGCACGACTGTCTGTCACCTGGAGCCTTCTACAACATCTCCCCACTAACAGGTTTTGCATGTTCAGTTTTCAGAGTGTGACAGCATCGCTTTCATATGCCTTAAAAGTGCCTAACTAGGCTTTTAGAAAATAAAAGCTTCTTCAGATTTCAGCTGAGATCAGTGAAAACTCTAATAGCGCTGTAACACAGGAATGTCGAAATAAAGGCACCTTAAATAGGAGTATATTTTTAAGCCCATTTTAACAGGCATTTATCAAACATTTCCAATTAAAACCAGAACAAGGAAATAATCAGGAACACACAGGGCTCTCCAGAACTAGGTGTGAAAGTTAAAAACATAAACACATCGTGGGATAGATTTAATCTCATGCAAGTACCACTGAACCATTATTCCACGATACGACATAGTTTATTAGTATGGTTTTATTGACCAAATTAAATCATATTCACGAAAAAATGCAAACAAAATGGCATGTAAAAGCATAGTTTTTATTTTACATTTCCATTTATACTTTTAATTCCTCATAACATATTTAAAGGACGTTTTTTAGCTAACATTACAGGCATCTCTATACTGGTTGGCTTGGTGCAGAGCCACCAAGGCTGGCTCCCTGCCAGCAAAGCAGGTTCTGTCTCGCTCAGAGGTGGGGAGAGCCCCGTTCCATATCCCAGGGCTACTGGTTTTGGAAATCCTTGTGGGTTTTGTGATTCTGAAGGGACATACTCCCTGCTTCCAGCTGGCGGTTGCATGCAGGACTGGTACTTCCCTGATTCTTTCACAGGGACTCTACAACGATAACTGATTTTGCAGTGAAGGTCTGTTTGCTCACACAACTTTTATGAAATCCATGTAATTGCAGGGAAGAACAGTTTCATGGACTGTCACGGCTTACTGCAGTGTCTCATAATCCTGAGTAACAGTTTGCTTTACAAAGCAAGATCTGGGAAAAAAACCCAAACTTTTGACCTTTAAGACAATGACAATGAATTCTGCTTGAAGTGTCCATCAAGGGACTAGGGAAAAAAAATCAGTTGTAGCAGAAAATGGATTTTAACTAAATGTCAAATAAAATTTTATTGGAAACCTTGGTGATACTTTAGAGTAATAGCTTAAAGCATTAGATTGTCTAGAGAAAAGAGCAGTTACAATTTTCCTGGAGAGGAAAAAAAGCAGAAAAGGAGAATTAGAGCACTCAGGCTGGAGAAGGGGTCTGAGGAGGAATTAGATCCTCCTCATCTTGAATTCAGACAAAATTAGTGCACATAATCACAAGGGCTTTCAGTGAACCCACTGATTTTGTATGTTGACCAAAGGACTGAGAATGAGGACGGAGGAGAAAAATGTGCTCATTCAGCTGCAGCCCCATCACATTTACCGCAGTGAGATCTGAAAATGAAATTTGAGGAAAGGACTAATCAAAGATATCGTGGTACAGGGACATTCAATCAAAGTGCTCACGGGGCGATGATGATGCTACCCACTCTGCGCCTGCCCTCCTCTGCACCGTATCCCATGTCCACACCAGCCTGTGTTTCTCTGCACGGCATCGTTGTGTAAGAGGCATAAACACCTCGTTACACACCGAATTGCTGCTGGCTACTGCTGGCTGTATGGAACCGTGGCTGTACCACCCCAAGGCAAAGGCAGAACAGCTTAGGCAGGGCTGCCTGCTCAGCTGGAGGAAGCGCTGCCCCAGCTGAGCCAGACAGGACAAGTCCTGGCAAAGATGCTCTGAGAAGCCTCAGGGCTGAGGCCCGGCAAACTCATTGCAAATGCTGCATTACTGGGCTGCATGTTACAAAGCCCATTTCTTCCGAGAGATGAGGCACTAGGATGTGCCTTGGGTGTCCCGTGGTTGATCCACGGACAGAACTCTTTCTGGAGTGGAAGAACACAGGGTCCAAATATCTTTCTGTTCAAAAATCTTGTAAAATGTGCTAGAAACAAAGATACAATTTGCAGAATATGTTCTGTCCTCTAGACTATGAAATAAAGAAGAATTTTTCCATTTCAGTAACACTGTACCACTTTTGTGCTCAGGTGTATGTTCTGGTCCACAGACAGTTATAAATGACACTCAAATCCAATTAAATATCCGTCTGGCAAACAAGAAGCCTGGATTTATTAGAAAACAGTATGCAGGAGAGTTGAAAACACCAGTTTTCTGTAACGGTTTATATTCTGTCTGCAGCCAATTACCTTTATCTAAACATAAGCTTCATCTGCACTTTATAATTTCTACCAGTTCTCTCCTGTAATTCCCAGTGGCACTAATGAGGCTTACATGCCAGCGTCACATCTAGAATACAACACTAAATGATATTAACGAGTCATATTTAGAGTATTCCAAAATTGTTTGTCAAAGCTGCTACTAAAAGATAAGGAACTGAAATCTCTGAATACAAATGGTTCAATATAAGATTAATTCCAATATATTATCATGATGTGCATCAACGCAGCCTTTACTTGGATGAGGTCGGATTCAATTTTTTTGAACAAGAGATAAAATGAACCTTTCGCAGGAATAAAAATAAAATGTATTTAGAGGGGATTTTTAACTAAGTACATAAATTATTGGACTGGAATCTTTATTGTGCATGTTTAACTTGCAGTCATTATGTAAATGCATTCATTATATAAATATTCATTATACAAACCCATTATGTAAATCCACAAAATCTACACATTCAGCGCAACACCGTAAGGAACACGGGGCTGTAGTTTGTAATCTCAAAATCTTGTATTGTTGAAATGTCATCTGAATAAATTGCAGGTATTACTTATTTTGTTCTGACATTTAAGAGCAAAGTGCAGCGTCAATAGTTTAAGAATGAAACCAGAATTTTAAAGAATTAAGGTCTGCCTGAGCCCTAACTCCAGGTTCTAACACTGGTATGCAGAGTGTGCGTGTGACATCGCTGACTGTGGAAAGCCAGCTCTGCCCGTGTTGCCAGGAGCAGTGACAGCAAAAGCCATTCAGGAATCTCTTGCCAAAGTGTTACTGCTGCACAAA